TTTTATAAGATGTTTTCTTATTTTTAAGTTAGATTCAAGAAATTCAATTCAATTCAATTCAAGAAATGTTTTTAAGTAACCTTTATAATATTTAACTTGTAGGTGGAGTAAGATAGACCAACTAAACTTTTATCATAGCAAAAATGTAAACAATAAAAAGTAGAAAATGAAAATGTTGATTAAGTTAAATAAAATCAATTTTACATGAGATGAATTAAATAAATAATTATTCCAAATTTGCTGATAAATATTTCTGACAATATGCCGGATCAAAGTTAAATTCATTCAAAATTATACCTTCAAAATTAAGAATCACACATTGGATCTGATTGCCATGAACTTATCAATGACATGAACTTATTAAAAGAATAATAAAATAAAAAGAATGAATCTATCATGTTATAAGTAACTGAAGAAGTAAAAGGAACAATTAATTAAAAAAGTCAAAAGTACGCTTTCTGATGATAAATATAAATTAACAAATTCTTCCATGATATGTTATTTCACACACGTTCGCAGTTTAACAAAATAGTTCTTCTTCCTATATTTTATTTTGTATATATGGTACATCGCATATCCCGTGGATATTTTGCATATGTGTTCGTTTTATGCTTGTAATAAAATCAGTTCAACGAGATAGAAAACCCACAAAGTCATATCTCAAAAATTATATCGCTTCTGGGATATATCGAAGCGGCATAAAATTGCTTGAAAATGCGTTCTCGATTGCATTTTTAATACCATTATATATGTACATCTATAAATCATTAATTATATTTTTATTTATGGCATTGGATTCTATTGAACGAGTTTCGATTGAATTTTTTAACATACGATTTTGAATAGCAATAGCAATAAATAATTCAGATCATAGTGGAATACAAACGTGTTTCCGAAATAGAATTATTTACAAAATAGTATATACATTGAATATATTTTGTTTTAGTATTATTTATTGGTTGTATATGTGGATCACAAAACAATTATTAATTATAAAGACTAAGAATAATTATAAAGACTAAGAATATTCAAACAAAATTATATAGGGTAGAGCACAATTATCTCAAAAACAATTAGTGTAGATTTTTAACGATACTATTGCCTCAAATTTGGCGTTAGGTTTATCAGTATCAGTATATCAGTTTAACAGTTTTTTTTATAGAATAGCTTCCATGCATTTGAGGTGAAAAGTATTACCCAGAGATTTACATTGGCGAGATATGGACAATAAGAAAATAGTACAAGTAAAACAAATTTTTGATAAATAGTAAAAAAAGATATCATTACAATGATGAGATAGTTGGGAATTTTGCTGAATATAATAAGATAATTGCTTATCTGATAATTGGTTTGATATTATCGATTTGGCTTTCACAAAATAATTATTCTAATTGCAAGAGCCAGAATATTTCACGATTTATAATTCTTTGTCATTAAAATCCGACAGCAACTTTTATACTGAAACAATTCTCAGTTTTATTAGTTGCATCACAATGTATAAAGCTGGTCATCCCATCAGGCCGGACGACGTCGACGCGACCCGCCGCGACCCGACGCGTCGCCCTGCTCGAGGTCTGCGTTCGTCACTCCCAATGCCGCTAATCCGGTGAAGCTTAACGAGGACTTTGCGACGTAGCGGTAACACTATTTGCCGTATACGCGAATTACATTATTCCGCACTAATGCCGTGGATGGCGTCTTTATCAATTCAATGTGAACGCATAACCCGCAAATCCACACAGTCGCTCTCATAGAAGGTGTAGACTCTAATTCAGCCAAACAAGTAATACAGAATAGTAAGGCAATTTCCAAGACGCAGATACTTCGTCTGATACATATAGTGCCTTAAGAATAAATTATACTTGCAAATAAATAAAGATTTCTTTGGTTGATTTGGGTTAATTAAAAAATGCTAATGCAATGTTTTAAATAATTTTTGTAATTTTTGAAAACGCAAGATTTTGTTGTTTACCTCGTTGTGCTAATTTCAATATCATTTTTATAACATTCATGTTTATATTTGTTTCAAGAATGAGTTATAGTTTTCTTTTTTAAATTTATCCATGATCAAACAAGGATATATATATCAAACAAGAACTCCGATTATTATAGTTATAGAGATTAACAATTATGCTTCATGTACATGGCTAAAACTTTTTGTAAAAAACCTAATAAATTTATATTAAAAACAATTATGTTCGGGATTTTACTTTGATGTAACTTTAAAGTAACAGTTAAAACATAAAGCTCTGATAAATGAGCAACATTCATTAAGATATTTTTTATACATTATTTTAAAACCAATAAAAAATCAAGTACATTTCTCGATCTCTCTCAATGCATGTCGTTTAACCACGTACAGCTCATTTTTATTTCAAAGAACATTGATCTGCAATCTCGCAATGTTGATATAAATGTGAATTAAAACCATATTTCTGCTATTTCTCAAAGCAAATATGAATGAACATTTTAATAGCTTTTTTGTGCTCACTTTTTCCCCTTTTAAATTAATTCTGCTCAACTTTTTTATACGTCCCTTTAGAAACAGCAAGTCTAGAATATTATGAGTTAGATTGTGCAGCAAATAAAAATATAACCGCGGTGAGAAAATAAATATTCTTGTACTACGTTAATGAAAAATTATATTGTGTAAAGTATGAAAACAATTGTGAAATACATTTAAAGCGTGTAAGTTGAAATTTGTACATTTGCAAATGTACATAATAACTTTTCAAATTAACTCATAGAATTTTATGTAAACTCGTTTTTCGAATCACGATACACTATTGAGTACAGCTATGAATTATTAAATAAATTCATTGCGCTACATGAAATTACTTACAAACATCAATCAATGAATAGCATCAAAAATCCATGCTATAGAATACTATACAGAAACGAGCCTTTGTAACGCATAAAACTGGCACGCGTCGCTGAATATAATTTACACACGGTATTATGAATCGAAATTCAAATTTGCTTTGATACACGATGCAAATATAAATCCCTTCATAACGCACGACAACTAATTACTGAGTATGCGGATCGGGCTTTAAATAACCCAGACGGGCGGGCAATTTACGGGTGCGCGCGTAGGAGCCGAACCTGGGACCTGCGAAAGTTTTTGCGAGGCTTGTGTGTGTCGATAATCCATCAACGTGTAACGAGCACATAGCACATAACGCTAGAGTGTCCGAACAAAACTTCTAATGTAAGTAGAGATGACCGTCGACGATAATTAAATTTCGATTATAAAATTTATATTCATGAATAAAATCCACACATGGATTTGTATTCAGGCATTCGTAATATTAATTAAGGATTAATGGCTGTTATTTTTAGATCGTAATTTTGCATTTTCCTATTTTTCCTATTTTTAAATTATTTAGTTATAAGAAGCATTTCGTTATGCATTGATGAACAAGAATGGAGATTCAGTTATTTAGGTGAAATATTTAACTGTTTATGTTAAAAAAAATCGACGAGTCAAATAAAGCTTTTCAAACATACCTACATAAGATCTGTAATGAATTAAATTAAATTAATTCGTTTAACACAGTTTATTCATTTTGGGCTCTAAAATGCAGTTTATTTAAGTATGGACGTAAACTGTAATCAGTAGTGCCTACCGAACACAGAACGTTTAATGCACTACTTGTACTACGTGTACTTCAACATAGATT